ACTCACTTGGACTTCCCACGGTGAGTATATTCAAATATTCGTAGAATCCGTATCTACTAGTACTTGAACCCGAAACCTGCTCGTGGAGGGTTGGGTGCCTAGACCACTAGGCCGCGGGATCCCAACCCAATATATATATAGTTATACATTATATAATTAAATTGTATCTTGAATTGTATAATTCTACATTACACAACTACAGTATTATTATAACTTGAATCATATAACTCTATACTATACAACAAAGTCAAGTTTAAATAACAATCAGGTTATTGTTTGCCTAATTAGATAAAAAATGAGAAACATATTATAAATAGAAGAGTACGATTAAACAAACAACTCTCTTCTTTCACCTGGTATAGTAATCTAAATAAAAGTGTATATACTAATTATTTATAAATGAATTAGCCAGTGTTTATTATTTTTTTTGTCACAAAAGAGAAGTTTAAGCTAGCAAAGAACAAAGAAAACTAAAATAAGTGAGTGTTTTGATGCAAAAGTTACCAACAATTATCAGGTAACTACAGATACTTATTAACTATTATTTCCTTTAGCTTACAATTGTTGAACTGAATTATTCATATTTGCTATTTTTTTTTGGTAAAAAGGCAAGTTGGTTACAGTTTATATTTGTTAATAGTAAATATCATGTGATATAAGTACTAATTAATTATTGCTTTTCTTAGCTTATAAATGTTAAACAAGAATCATTTGCATTCACTACTATTTTTTTTTTCTGTGAAAAGGCAAGTCAATTATAGTTTATGCTTGTTATTAGTAAATATTAGACAATCACGAGCAATAATTAACTACTACTTTCTTTAGTTTATAATCATTAAACATGATCATTTGCGTTGGCTACTTTTTTTTTTTTTGTGAAAAGACAAGTTAGTTAATAGTTTTATATTTGTTAATAATGAATATTTGGTGATCACAAGCACTAACTGTTAATTTCAATCATTAAACAGAAATTGTTTGCATTCACTATTATTTTTTTTCTGTAAAAAGACAAGTTAGTTACAGTTTTATATTTTTTATTAGTGAACATCAGGCAACTATGAGCACTTATTAACTATTACTTCCTTTAGCTTATAATTATTAAACTGGAATCGTACATGTTTGCTATTTTTTTTTTTTTTTTATAAAAAAGGGTTGGTTACAGTTTTATATTTGTTACTACCGAATATCAGATAATCACAAATACTAATTAACTATTATGTTCTTTAGCTTATAACAAATAATCATTAAACAGGAATTTTTTATTTTGCTATTATTTTTTTTGGTAAAAAGGCAAGTTAGTTATAGTTTTATATTACTAGCAAATTTTAGTTAGAAGCACTTATTAACTATTACTTTCTTTAGTTTACAATTGTTGATTTTTTTTTTTTTGAAAAGGCAAGTAGTATGCTGCTATTATTAAAGTCAATTACAGTTTTATAGTTGAATATTTAGTTATAACTTGAATAGTATTAAAAGTCTTATCTTTTAATTAGTTATGATTGAACTAGAAAATATTAATCCTTTGTCTTAAAGTATTTCATCTACAACTATTTTGTTGGTATCCCAAACAACTAAATCTACTTTGCAATAACCCACAAGTTTAACAACTTCGAATTTTGAATTTGAGAGTGTAAATGATGAGTTTGATGAGCAATTAGACAATGAGTTTGGCAAACAATTAGAACTTTATAAAGGTAAATCTTTACAGTTCTTGATTTTTAAAAATCAAAAGATGAATTTTACAGTATTTATGTTGTTAGGACAAAGGTTTAAAATGGTTAAAGAAGCTTATACTATAGTTAAATTATTTGCTTATTTAAATAGATTTAGAATTAGAAAAGGATATGTTGAAAAAGACGCAACTGGTATATATGAAATTTCAAGATCATTCATATATTATCATGCTGATAAACTACAAAATAAAGACAAATCATACAAAACTAAAGGATCTGGTTCATGCCAAACTAATTGTAAATAGAAGGTTAATATTTATTGGAGCAAAAGTTTTAGTAAATATTATATTTCAACCTTTACAAATATTCATACTGACTATACTCTTAATCTAACTATCATACAATTTATCTCCAAAAATCAAAAACTTATCAAGAAAATATTAAAAGATGGGGGTGAGTCAGTAGAAATACACTATATTTTTTTTAATAAAATTTTTTTAAATTTTCAAACAAAAATAATTCAGCAAAAACTTAACCAAATTTAGTAAAATTTTTTTTTAAAATAAATTCTATAATTTTTTAGAATTGGTTTGAAAAAAAATTTATTAAATTTGATTAAGCTGTTGTTGAGTTATTCTTGTTTAAATTTTAAAAAAAATTTACTTAAAAAAAATATGATACATTTCTACTGACTCACCCCCAGATATTGAATTTTATACTCTATCTAGAAAAATCAATGCAAGTACAGGGTGTGGTGACTTAGTGAAGTGGTGGAGTTGTTAAACCCCCAGATAGCAAGTCTAGAGTTTAAATCCCACAGATACTGATTTTAAAAAAACTAAATCTGTATTAGTTAATGTTAAGATTATCAGTTGGATCCAAATATCTATAATCTTGGTCACACTATCTCAAATGAGAGCTTCGGCACTATAAATCCAGGAAACTGAAATTACTAAAAACTTGTTTGGCAAGTTCCGAGTATGAAGTAGTAGTGATCTTCAATAGTGCTACAGGAAGGCCAAATTTGGAACTAAGGACTGAGGCCAAAGAACCGAATGACCAGATCCTTAAGTGGGAAGATATACTAGCCAAACTGCTAGACTGCCAAACAGAGGAAAAGAATATATACTCTGGAAGCATGTACCAAAGGGAGGGTGACTGTGAGGCACCTAAAGCCTAGGCAGACCAACCTTTCTGGGTTGCCGGCTAGAAGTAAGGGAGAGACTGGTAAGGAATTCAGGAAAAAAGTAAGCTGAAACATAGGTATCGAGGTTGTTGTGAACCTCACAAGAGCAAGAAGTATATAATGAAATTCTAATTAGAAAAGTTGTAGCTTGAGATACAGATCAGATTACAGTAGTATCTGAAAAGATAGCTTGAGATACGAACCTGATGGCAGTAGCACAACATGTACTAGTTAGGTGAAAGTTATCAAAACATGCAGGTGAATACATGGGTGGGACATGTATTATTCTGTTAGATTTATCACAAGAATAAATGCCTATGTGGCTAAAGTCTTAGGGTTATTTTACGGCATTGCTAATCCCAATAAGAGTGTTAGAGTAGGTGTGTTATAGAGATGGAGCCAGAGGGTTTAAATGGGTATCTCTCATAGTTGGGGTGCAGGTATAGTAGCTAGTATAAAATCTAGAGCAGACTACTTAAATAGATAACCAAAAGTTGCATATATAGCTAATTGTACTTTTATTAGTAATAATCAGAGAGCTTAAATAGATAATTACCTAGTTAAATTGCAGATATGGTGGCTAGTGTAGAACCCAGGTAAACTACTTAAATTAGATACCAAAAGTACATATGTGGCTAGTTGTATCCTTGTGAATTTGATGTAATATTATAACTATCCGAATAAAGCTACATACCAGAGGCCTACGTGGCCATCTTAATATTAAAAAAAAAAAAAAAATCAATGCAAGCGCTCAATATTGGCTTCTTTTAAAAAAGTACAAAGTTCTAGTTCATCGCAATAATTTATACAATGCAATTGCAAAGGTCAAAAAAATAGTCTCATATAGAGATAATGATGTAGCAGAATTGTTGTCTAAATTATTTAAAAAAAAAGAAGAGGATTCAAGATGGGTTATTAAGTAGTATTTTGATTCAAATACTAATGCTTTAACATATCTTTTTTGGATGTTTCCAAATCAACTTGATCTTTGAATGTGGTATAGCGATATTATTCTTCATGATGACATAGCAAAAATGAATATTTATAATATGCTATTGTCACTCTTTATTGTTATAGATAACACCTACCAGTCTTATCTTGTTGCACAAGCTATATTGGATAATAAAACAGCAGAATCTTATTCCTGGCTACTTGAAGTCTTAATTAAAGCTACTGAGGAACTTTACCTAAACACTATTTTGACAGATGTCGATCCTGGCATGATCCTCGCTATTTCTACTATTTTACCTTCAACACATATTTTTATTACATTTGGCATATTAGTCAAAACCTACAAAAAAACCTTAAAAGCAAATTAAGCTCTGATTGGGATTTATTTATTAAGGACTTTTACAAAACTCAAAATATATTGAATCAACAAATTTTTGAAGATTGGTTTAAATCTTTGCAAGAATATTATCCAAAAGCTATACTAGGACTTTATATGCTAATAGACAATCTTAGGCAAGAGCTTATACTTTTCATCACTTCACTGCTAGTACGCAAGCAACAAGTTATATTGAGTTAATTAATTTATATATCAATTTATTATATGCCATGGTATGATTTGTTCAACTCACTAGATTCTTTAATTGCTAGTCAAAACTATTATTATAACTTCATTAGTTGAAAATCATCAAATTTAAATATTAAACTACCAAATGTTTGTGATACTATGTATTCAAATATTAATGCTATTCTCAAGAGCTTCGTTGCACCCAATCTAATTGAAAAAATTTGCTATAAAATAAACTATAGCTTATTTTACTATCTAACTAAAATCAATACTGAGTCTTTATATTTATGTCAAGTAAGTAATCATTTCTAATATATTATATGGGTGAAATTTATTTTTACTAATGATTATTTAAATAATATTTATTAATTGACAAGCTTATTTCATTGATAATCAATTTATTGACAATATATTTGGTAAAATAACTACTAGTAAACTGGTTATTAGTAAAATAAGCTTGTAGATAAATTATTAAATTATCCCTTAAACAATAAAAGCGACAACCATATTCATACACTCTTTCTGACGATCACTTGGTACAAAACTAGCAGAAGGCAAAAAGTAAACTCTACACTAGAAAGAAGTGACAAACACATCAACAAACTCAATAGAACATTGGAAAAGGCTTTAAACACAGGCCTGTACTAGATTAATTACTTGGTAGTAGTCTAAACAAGTGAGGAAAACAGTA